ATTGGAACGGGCTCCCCAGGGAGGTGGTGGAGTCACCATCCCTGGAGGTGTTCAAAAAACGTTTAGATGTGGCGCTTCAAGACATGGTTTAGTGGGTTTAGTGGCCATGGTGTCATTTGGTATACGGTTGGACTTGATGATCTTTGAGGTCTCTTCCAACCATAATGATTCTATGATTCTATGATTATTATTTTTTCATTAAATAATTAGCCCGGGCTTACTTTTCTTTTGACTGTTTTGAAATTTAACAGGGAACTCTGAAACACAAGATATTTTGAAAAAAACACTTATAGCCTGATTTATCATAAAAGATTCAGGAATTTGAAAAGAAAATGGTAAAAGTGTAGATTTATTCAAGAACTCCCTGCGCACTGCTACTCTCCTGAAAGCACCGGCATGCTGATTTTTATCACTTGAGAGCTGGCAAATCCAAGGTACGACCAAGTTGTGTGTAAGTAATGTACTGGTGAGTCAGCGTAAGGTCAGGAAGAGCAGACAGCACTGCAGACCCACTTGGGACACCTACACAGAGGGCCTGGGCATTCCCCGAGTCCTGCCTTGTGCTGGGGCTCCTTGTGCTCTTTGGGTGGGTCAGGAGCAGGAACACAAAAGAGGGATGGCTGGGATATGGTTGCACTTCCCAGCTGGGGACTGCCGCCTCTTGAAGGGAGTAAGCAACCAGTTCAGATTAGAGAACCCTCATTTGTTCTTTGCTAATCGTTCATGGGCAAGTCTCTGGAGCAGGAGGGTACAACAGTGCTGTACAGCACAACTTGACTGTACCCTGCCATCAAGATCAGAGGTGTTAAGCTTTTTCTAATTCAAAAGCAACAACTTAAACTGGAATCTATCTGGTACTAAGATGAAACTCTACATGGATTGAAAGCAGCCCTGAGGAGAAGGACTTGGGGGTGTTGGTTGACGAGAAGCTCACCATGACCCAGCAATGTGCGCTGGCAGCCCAGAAAGCCAACCGGACCCCAGGCTGCATCCAAAGCAGCGTGGCCAGCAGGTCGAGGGAGGGGATTCTGCCCCTCTGCTCCGCTCTGGTGAGACCCCCCTGCAGTACTGCCTTCAGCTCTGGGGTCCTCAGCACAAGAAGGACAGGGACCTGTTGGAGTGAGTCCAGAGGAGGCCATGAAGATGATCTGAGGGCTGAAGCACCTCTGCTGCAAGGACAGCCTGAGAGAGTTGGGGTTGTTCAGCCTGGAGAAGAGAAGGCTCCGGGCAGACCTTAGAGCAGCCTTCCCATACCTAAAGGGGCCGACAAGAAAGCTGGGGAGGGACTTTTTACAAGGGCAGGGAGTGATAGGACAAGGGGCAATGGCTTTAAACTGGAAGAGGGAAGATTTAGATGAGATATTAGGAAGAAATTCTTCCCGGTGAGGGTGGTGAGGCAGTGGCACAGGTTGCCCAGTGAAGCTGTGGCTGCCCCATCCCTGGAAGTGTTCAAGGTCAGGTTGGATGGGGCTGTGAGCAACCTGGTCTGGTGGGAGGTGTCCCTGCCCAGGGCAGGGGGGTTGGAACTGGATGGGCTTTAAGGTCCCTTCCAACCAAACCATTCTGTGATTCTGTGTTGCACCTCCTCTTGTCCCACCTTTCTTATCGCCGCTCTGTAACACCCTTCCCCGTAGCACCTGGACACGGTAGTTCTGTTACGGTTACGGGAGTTACACCCTGGTCCATCTGTTCATCTGATATACTATAACTCTGACGTATAATTCAGAACATATGGATTAAATATTAAGACAGTTTCGCATTATTGCTACAGCTCTTTTCAATAGGTTTTCTCTTTTTTCTATCACTACACAGCTGGATCAATCTGGGTGTTCCTTTCTGAAATAAAATTACACAGAATGGTCATTGCACTTCAAGCTAATAAATACAGGTAATTGCTAAGCCAACTTTGGAATAAGCTACAGATAAGTCTGGATAAGCTACAATTAGTTTGGAAAAATGAGACCTGACAGGTTATTGTATGCATTTCAAACTGAATTTCTGTTGAACAGATAATTTGTATCTGTATCAGATTTTTCATAAAAAATACTCATTTTTATAAAGATATCTTAAGATTCTTTTTGTTGATTACAATGTAAAAAAGAAGGAATAACTGTGTATGGACAATGATAAAGTAGCCTGTTGATAATAAATATTTGTCAGGTCTTGTCACATCTGTACACATTCCAATGTTACTGAAGAGACACCACACTGATAAAAAAAAATACCCTCAGAAAAATCAATGGATTTTGAACTAAAGCAGTTGCTAAACACACAGAAAACATCTTTATCCAACAGCCATAGTGCTGTGAAAATTCCCAAGCCTTGCATTGGTACAGCTAAGGAAAATTTAATCTTCCCAAATACTCATCAGGGCACTCCATCCTGCAGACCTGACAGCCCCACTTATAATTAATTATACAATTTCGATGGGAATATCGACTAAACAAAGCTATAAATCATAGAAAAAGTCAATAGGCATGGACACATTCAATCATGTCCCGACCAATGATTACTACTCTTAAAATACAATAATTATTTTCAGGAGCCAGCTTGAATTAAATTTCTGTCAGGCTGGTACAAGACCGGCGGTTGATGAAGGATGCGATGGATTTTTTGGGTTGAATTCGGCACAGAGACATTTATCCTTTTAGATAGGTAGTTTGTTTTTAGTGATCATGGTGCTGCGTGTTTAACTAGACCATGAAGATTAGATTATCTCCAATGGCTCATTATATCGTTTATCTTTTCCTTCCATGTTTGATCTGGAAGATTTCCCACTTCTTGATGCATGAATGAAATGACTGCTGATTTTGAAATGGAATGTGCTTAAGTGGGATTCTGCCTATGCCTTCACACACCACATCCATGTAGGTAAAGTCAACCAGCAGTCATCTGAAATACCACTAGGATGTGGTAAATGGCAACAAGAATAGCTTTGCTCAGCTTTAGAAATATACTGGGAAAAAATAAAAATGACAAGCATTTGAGTTGTTTTAAAAAAAGCTACAAAAATTATTATGATAATATACATAGAGGAAAATCTGGGACAGGAATGGGATTGGTATGGAAACAGTAACTGGGATTAGTGTTACTACTTTGAATTAAATGTCCCCAAAACTGCAAAACATCACTGAAAGAAACATTATGTATTTCCCAAGGATGCATTCACCTTGTAAATTTAAAAAAAACAAACCCCAAACCAACTTATTTCACTGTAACTGTGTCTTTCAGATATGTCGCCTAGACAGGTATTTCCCATAGTGAGCACACACACCACACATGAAAGACATGCCGCAAGAACGGACAGCAGTCCCAACGAACAGGATGGATGTCAACAGATCCTGAAGGGAGAAACAGATCTTCACTTTCCTCATGAGCCTGACTCATCAAACTCTTCTGACCTCAAGAAACCACAGAATCATCATAGAGTCATAGAATGGTTTGGTTGGAAGGGGCTTGAAAGATCATCTCTTTCCAACCCCCTGGCCATGGGCAGGGACACCTTCCACCAGACCAGGTTGCTCAAATGAGTGATATCTCAGATTCTTACATCGAATTAACCTGCTAGGTGTAAGTCAATTTAAAACCAGAGAAGGTAATTGGGCTTCACCTGTCCTCCTTGCCCTGGATCCCTGCAGACAACCGTCCAAACAGCCTGGTTGTCTACAAACAGCAAGAGAATTAGCCGTAGGCAGGACAGAAGAGAGAGAGGGGAGAGTCATGGATCCTGTGTACATCCCATCCCTATGCAAAAAGTAGCAATAAGCTGTGTGAGCAGGCACTCTGTGTAATTGGTACAGAGTGCGGCAAAAGCGAGAGGTGGGGACTAGGGCAAACACGAAGGGGTTTTCAAAAAAGCTGAGATACAGAAGATGAATCCCGTGTCTTCTTTTATTTCGGGTATGAGGAAGGAAGGTAAAATTCAGTCATGCTGAGGAAAGGACTGAAGAAAGAAGGGGAACCTCAGTCTGCACAAATGACTTTGCCACACACAGTTTCCGCAGAACACACAAAGTTTTCTGAAGGTTTTCTTTGTCTAGTGTAGCCTGCTCTATTTATATAGCTCAGAATATTCAACATATCAGTGCTATTGTTTATGCACACATAGGCAGGTCAAGATGTGACACAAGCTAGTGTAGCTCTTCTGATGTCAGTGAAATTGGGCCAGTTTCCACAAGCAGAGGGTCTGGCCCATGACATCCACAATAAGGCTCCCACACGCAATACGCACATTCCAAATTTTTATCTGTGCATAACTGTTTGGGTTTTTTTTTTTTTGAAGCTTAACGTTTTTCCTTTAGATACACAACTCCTAGGAACCTTTAGATGAAATTAAGAAAGCTGCAAGCAGTGATATCAAAATTTTCCAAAAGGAAGTGGCTACATTTTGAAATAAAATCACCTTAAAGAAGATATAAAACCATTCTCCACAGAAAAACTCTAGTCTTCATGACAAATCAGAACATTAGTCTTCCCTGTCTGCTTCCTCCTCTTACGAAGCCCTATATGATTGCCCAAACAGTGCCAGTCTGCTGCAGGGTTTGAGCTTTCTGTTCTATTTATTCATGCATTTCTATTGTTCTTTGCACACTCAGAAGACCCAGATATTTTCAGAACAGCTTTGCATTAAGGACTTTTCCTAAGCTACTATGCTGCATGATGAAGAGCTAGTAAAGAAACAGGATGCTTGAAGAAATGCAGACCAGAAGATGGAGAAGAAAAGTGAATTGTCACATATATTTAATTGACAATTTTTTCTAGGAAAAAGAAGGTAAACAGATGCCAAAGTTAAGAAGCTGTATACAAAATAACTGGCTAAGTGAGGAGGAAATTTGGGGCAGTTATTGTGTTAGATGAATTATCTCTCCTCATTCTGCAGACAGGAAGGCTGATAAGGATAAAGGACTGGTAGAGAAACACATTTTGTATGTGAGTTTCCAACTTGTTCCTTCAGAAGTGTTCAGCAACGAACTTACCGCAGTGCCATTGTTGTCTCTAAATACATCTTGATTAAAATAGTCAAAGAGCTTCTTTTCTAATTGTAGCATAACCTAAAAAAACATAGAGGAGAAAGGTCAGCAAAGCTCTTGGACTCAGCTACCTAATACACAGCTGCTGGAAGTGACCCTTTTAGAGACATGCAGCCCTTTAAAACTACACGACATTTCTACACGTCTAAAGCTCCTTGTCAGCTTGCCCATTTGGTTGACTGGCAATCACTTAAAAAGATCCAATTAACTGAGCATTAGGTGTGACAATCTATATCCCTCCCCTCCCTTTAAATTATCAGTTTGAAACAACTATATTCATGCTTTGTAGAAAAGAAAGTGAACATTCAACAACGTTTCTATTTACACAGGGGGTACAGAGGGCATTAAGTTGTTTACCTTTCGGTCATTATCAGATTCACGAAATATTAGCTTGACTACTTCATTTGTGTCAGCTGCCCGGATAGTCTGCATTGTAGCCTTTGCACATAGTGTCTAATAAAAAAAACAAAGGGAGAAAGAGAAACCAGTTTATATGCAACATAAGGCCACATTTAATTGAATTTTATCAACCTATGTATCTTCAATGTCCACCTGAAAATACAATTTGCTGTAGGTCAAAATACAAAGCATTGCTAATTTTAAGTCACTTCCACTCATGATGGATTTAAAACAATAAACTGAATTACCATTTGGAGAGAAACAGGCAATATTAAGAAAATATTGATCAGATAAGGCAAATATTCATTTAACTTACTACCATGCACACAGGTTCTTTCACAAGTCTGACACTGTATGACACATTAGTTGTAAACATCCTCAAAAGCCACTTCCTACAGATAATGACTCCAGAGCGCTACCGGTTTCTGCACTGCATTCTTAAAAGCTGATAACTACATTGGCACTACAGTTCTGTGCGTTAACTCTTGTTTGCAAAAACTTCGGCCTTGCAAATTAATGTTCCAAGTATAATTTAGAAGTCCAAGCAACTCTTACACAATCGAACAATAAGTTTCACAGCTTACTCTGGATAGCAAATTCCTCATGCATCATCCTTTAAGTAAGAGACAACATCACATCTCTAGATATTTTGAGGACCAGGTATCTAAAACATATTATAAATCAACAGTTTCTCAGGCATAGAGGTATGAATTTCCGAGGAAGTGTCAAGCCTCCATTCATTTGCCTTTTGCCCAGTTGGGGCCCAGTTTCAATGGCAATCAAAGCTGACCTCGAGGTTAATACAGAATAGGTTGTTTAAAGGGCTTGCTCTGTTGCCTTGTAACAGGTGAAAATCTGGAGCTTTTAGCAAAGCAGTTAGGCATATATTTAACTTAAAAACACTTCAGATTCACTGAACCTATACTTTTAGTGAAGCTTTAAGCATGTTAAGTACTTTGAAATGCAGAAACAGACTACATCTTAACTGTGGGGTAGGCAGGCTTCACAAAATGCTCTGTAGTTATCCAGCCTGGGCAAAGCTACTGGATGGTGTGCAGTGCTACCCCAGCCCATCAGCCTGGTTGCTGGAAACCACAAGGCTGAAGACAGAAAGCAGAATTGAGAAAACCTTGGCATTACTCAAAGACAGAGAGAAAATGGCCAAGATGAGCACCCACACCGGGGAGGCAGTTCACCATCCTTTGCTACAGCCGTGGCACAAGCTGCTGATAGGATCTATGCACAGCCCTGCATAAGGATATTGGCAAAGACTATCCTCCTGAATAAAAGCTTATTTTGCTAGAGGTTCTTAAACAAAAGCGTGCTGAAGAAAATAGCTCAGTCAAGAAGAGGCAAAGAGGTCACTTCCCTGCTCTGCCGGTACCATTCCTTTTCATAATGGCTAGGCAACAGATTTCATTTTGCATAATATTCACTTATAAAATAAGTATGTTCTGAGGCAACAGGGTAATAGAATTTCACATCCTACTACATGCTTCTTTCACTCACAAAGAGAAATACTTATATTGGGATTCACTATTAGAAGTGCAGGATCTGTCAGACACAATGCCATGGAACTACAGCTTACTTCTCAGTTCCCCATTCTGAGTTTCTTCTGAAGGAAGAAGTACATGCCAAACATGTATTTAAACAAAAATCCATCTGCTTCCAAATATTTTAGATGTCAGCTGAGGTTACCAGTGCTAGAATGGAAACAATCTGTCAATGGACTTTTTGCCCCCATTTGATAGAAGGACATTAAAAAATGATCCCTGATAAAGGCCCTTGTGTGTTGCCACAGTACAAACAAAAAGCAACAAGCTAAGCAATTTCATTTTTAAAGGATAACTTGAGTGTGATTCAGTAAAAATAAAATACTAATCTGATGTTTTTCTTCAAGTCTGTGAACTGAACAATTCCCCGTTTTACTGAATAAACGATGTCCTTTCCTGACAAATTTTTCTTGATTGTTTCCTCCCCCCCCAAAGCAGTGCCAAGTTTATGGATTACAAATATCTAACTCTGGGTTTTATCCTAAAAAACTTGGCACACTCATGGCACCAACGTGGCCTTAGGTGTCTGTGAAATTAGAGTTTTCACTGGAGAAAGGAGTACTGGTCACACAGACACTGATGTAGGCTGCCCTTTGAGAACTTCATCTGTTCTGCAGAATTTTAAGGTGTTTCTTTGAAAGACTTGGGAGAAGAGAGGGAAGATGCTGGCAGTAGCTAGTCAAACCTAACGCTGCCTGGGAGGGAGGAGGAGAGGCACACTGGACCATCAGGGAAGCTGCGCTTTTGGTACCACTTATTTTAAACACAGACCTACTAACTCTTCCCTCGCATCCACCGTGTACCGTAGGATCCCTTTTGTCTGTTTGGACACGTAATTACCGTTTTGCCATCTGTGTCTGTATGTGGACACGGGTGAGCTAATCCACCAGCGAGCCATTCCCAAAGTGAGCTCCCTCCGATACCAGCCATTGAAATTCAAAGCACAGATTAGCTAATCGGGTCAAGCCCCAAAAAATAGCGCCTTGGGCTCATGTGTCACAAATCAGTCTGGTTGCCTTTAAACAGTGCACCAGATTAGAACAAGCACCCGAACAAACCAAAGCGGAAAACCCGCCGCTCTCTAAAGCTGGTTTCTAAAGCCCTAACAAATCGCTCCATCTTTCACTCATTTAAACTTTCCAAATGAGGGTCAATACGGTCCCCAAGCATCCAAATGCTAATGCGCTTAAGTGCGCTTAAGCAGCTTTCCAGAGTGAATGGGCCAAAGAAGGGCTCGAAAAGACAAGGCAGAGTTACTGTCACTGTCAAAAAGTCATTGTAGCCACCCCCAGAGTGGTTGCAATTCAAGAAATTCATGATTTCTGTCTCTTAAAGGCATCTGCTTGAGAACATTTTTTTTTTCTGAGCTGCTTTATCTCACAACTTCAGGCCCGCTCTAAAAGAAAAAAAATCCGCGATCGACTCTTGAGAACCAATACAGAGAAAGAACCCACATACCTTATTGCTTTCAAATTTCACACCCACAAAAAGTTACCTTATTCATGGACAAAAAGTGATTGGGCAAAGGTTCATTTCTTATACAAGCTGGAGCACTCCTTTTTTCCTCCTCCTTTCAATTTCTACAAAGTCGTAGTCACCCAAGCAGAAAACTTTCGGGAACATATGCCTTTTTAGACAAGTCTACTTATGAAGGGATTTTTTGTTGCTTGTAAAGAAAATAAAAATGCTATGAAAACACACTGTTTCTTTTTTTGGGTATTCCCTCAAAGGCCCTCTTTTAGAAAGTCAGAAGAGGGGAAATCAGATATCAAAACTCTACCGAAGTTATCTTTTCAAAAAAATCTTTTTTCTTTGGAAACAAGATTTGGTTAAAAAGTTTGCAGGAGAGCTGTATTCAGAGCTGAGAGAGAACTCAGTATTCAGCCTTTGCTTAGCAAACACAGACGTGTCTTACTCCTGTTTTCACATATACTGTCCACACAGGTAGATGCTTCGTAGTATTTTTTAAATAATCCTTTGCAATAAGTTATGTGTACTGAAGTGTAAAACATAGCAGTAACTTTTCTGATAATTGCATTGGAACATAATAAAAATGTACTGTTATGCAAAGCTGGGAGTGAAAGTTTTTTATATTGACGAGAGACAAATCCGGAATTTCTTCTAAACTCTGCAATCCTCAGAAACGGAAAGCCTGTTGATTTACAGCATAAACAGAACTTTCAAAATACATCTCCTGCCATATATACACAACACATTGAAATCTTTTAGACTGTATTTCAGCATACTTAGAGTAAAAGGGGATAAAGACATTAAACAATTGTGTTATATACACAAACCACAGACACACAATGTTATATAATACATATTACATAATTGCTTTTTATATTGTGTTTATACGGAAACGCTCTGAGCAGCTGTGAACCGTACTACTGTTTCCTGCTAGCAGTGCTCTGTTGAAAATTGCAGCTGATTTTTCATTGATTTTGCACTCCTGCTTTCTGAACATCCTTTAGACTCCTGAGTCCACCTCTCGATGTGTGAGCTGAGTTATTGCATGCTTGTAATTACTTCAACAATTTTTTTTTTTTTTAAAAAGGTGTTAGCCAAGCACATACAGACTCAAACTTTCCTATTGCCTCTGTCTACTGATTCTAAAGATCTGTATTATTTTTCCCAATGATTTGAATACTCTTCTTAGGACTTATTATTACTTTGAATTCTTCTCCTAAAAAAACCCCCAACAAAGAAGAATATATTAATTGCTCCTTTAGATTTAAAAATGTTCAGCAATAGTTGCAATTGCAATTTCCAGTAAGCCGCATCGATTAAAACAGAAGTGTTTGTTGCTGCAAGTGCCAGGAGAGAAGTGTAGAGTCTAAAGAATGCTAACACGAGCCAGTTGAAATAAGGTCTTGAGCACATGAGCAACCAAATCAATTAAATTTATGATATTTCATTTTATTCCAGTTACATACTCTGTGGATTCTGGCAGGATAGAAAAGACAGAGGTACATGTATCATCTAATAGTGAAATACTTCTTCTGAAATGCTGCTCAAAACCCAAAATCAATCTGACACTTATTAAATTAGGATAATCAAATGCTTTTTTATTATTATCTGGATGCAAATTGTATTTGAAACAATCAGCGAGGTAAGATATTTGCTACTTTGGGAATAACAGGAACATCTGTCTTACTTGGGCTCCTCCTTACCTCTGAGGGGTTGATATGATTTCCTGGGTATTGGGAATATACTAACAGTAAATTCACCAAATCATGTGATGTAAGAGAAATAAAATTTGCAAGTGAGAAAACCAAAGTTAAACGTAACTTTCTGAGTCACTAAGAGTGGTGCATTTAGGTACGGGACAGGTAACATTATTAAAATCTATCTGCCACTGAAATGGAGACTTATTTTAGCTAATTTTTCACAACTGTGCAGAGGTATTTGGCCATACAGCTGCTGCAAACAATTAGGGAAATGATAGAGCTAAATTCCCCAATGTATAGCAATCAAAACCCACCTGAGAGGACATACACT